TTCAGCTCCTGGTCTTAAAATCCAAACCAACAATTCGRCGCGGCGCGGCGCGGCGCGCTGGACGATCCGGATTCCGCCGGCCCCCGCTCGCCCGCTCTCCCGCGGGCTGGGCCGGCCCCACACCCGTCCCGGGTCCGCGCGAGGGTGGGGGCGGGGCGGGCCGCGGCTGAAAGGCCTCTGAAAGGAGCAAACGCCGTTCAGCTCCGGCCTGCAAGGCCGCGTGCCCGTCCCGCCTGCTTACCAGGTCCAGCGGGGATCTGGGTGGGGAGCTGTCAGCGGCAGGGGAGACCGTCAAGTGTGCCTCCTGCTAGAGACGCCGAGAAGCACCCTGCGGCCGCCGCGGCAGAACGTCTTCTGTCCCCGTCCACGTGACCGCSACCTCCGCCGGGAGGCGCGAGGAATGCTGGGACGGGTAGTTCCGGGGCCCCGCCTCCTGCGGGCCCCTCCCTCTGCYCCACGCCCCGGCCTCTCTGGGGCCTGGCCGCCAGGGAGAGCCGGAGTGGGCCTGAGTGACCAGTACTGGTTGCCCGGCTTCTCCTGCTCATCTGGAAGGAACACAGACACCTATGCCACATGCCTGGCCACTCCGACCCTTCAAAAGACCTGAAATCCATAGATTAGGAAAACCTATGGGGCCCAACAGAGTGAGAAGCGGTGTATAATGAAAATGGCCAACACCAGCCCAACCTGACTTGGAACCCAGCCTCTGCCATGACTAAGAGTGTGTCCTAATGGGTTACATAATCTAAACCTCAGTTCCCTAGTGTGTCAAACGGGGACAAGGCTACATACCTATGTGAGGTTGCTGTAAATAATATAATGTAAGCAGCATGACCATAGTAAACCATGAATCAAAAATATCTATTATTTGGTTCTATTAACTTTTTAAATATTTTTTAGTTGTAGTTGGACCAATACCTTTATTTTATTTATTTTTATGAGGTGCTGAGGATCGAACCCAGGGCCTCGCATGTGCAAGGAGAGTGCTCTCCCAGCCCCCGATCTATTAATTTTTATCTGTGAAAARAAATGGCGAACAATTTATCCAAGAACATGTAATTGGGTAGGGGAAAAGCCAAACATGTCTAACATTCCTGTTCCTGTTACCCAATCAAAACAACCAAGAAGAAATCTGTAAATCTCGCTCTTTCATTTTTTTTTTTCCCAACACACTTTATTAACTTTCACTTTTGTCTGCGCTTGCTTTGGCAGCACATATACTAAAATTGATTTTTGTCTGACTCCTATTATTGAAAATAAAGTCCAAGGGCTGGAGTTGGTGGTACACTGAGTCACCCCAGTTGACTCCAGAGGCTATAGTAGGAAGATTAAGGAGCSTCAGCAACTTGAGACTCTGTTTCAAAATAAAAAAATTTGGAAAGGGCTAGGGATACTCAGAGGTAGAATGCTTCTGGGTTCAAATCCCCAGTACTGCAAAGAATAAAAAAAATTTTTTTCTGTTGCTTGTGAGAATGCAGCCAGATACTATGTCTTTATTTCCTCTTAATATTTTATTATTTTCTTTTTAGATTTGCCCCTTCTATTATAAGCCATAATCACAAAGTTATTTCCCTATCCATCCAGAAATGTATTATGCCTTCATTGATGCTTTCTCTTTAATTTCTGCTTACTTTTAACCAAAAAATCCTGTACCAAAATTATTTTAAAGTAAGTTTAAAGTAAAATGTTTCATTTAAAATTGCTTCATTTAGATATCCAATGTCAAGAGCACAGGATTTCCACCTCTGGCTATACCAGCTGGGTAAGCAATCAATGCCAACCATTTATCTGAATTATAATTTATGTCAAGTATATGACAAATTCCTTCATAGTTGTCTTCATCTTTGTTGCCCAGAATATATTATATAATGTATTCTTTTTAAATTTTTTTCTTAGTTATACATGGTCACAAGATCTTTATTTTGTTTATTTTTATATGGTGCTGAGGATTAAACCTGGTGCCTCACAGGTGCAAGGCAAGTGCTCTGCCACTGAGCCACAATCCCAGCCCCATAATGAATTCTTTAAAAAAAA